ATTGGATTGATCGATTTTTAACATTATTAAATATATGAGATAATATAAATAATTTTAATATTAAGTAAAAAATATAAATATAAAATACGTGAATATCCAAATAAATAGAAACATAATTAAAAAAAACATAAATTATAAATAAATTATAAATAAATTCTTATACTCTTTTACAATTATAAAAATTGAAAAAATTTAGAAATTATAAACAAAATTTTAAACCTTTATCTTGATATCCAAGAATGCCCAAAAGAGGGCTGTCACCAGTCTCCTAAGCTCTCTTAATTCTAAATTTGGATGAGTATTTATAACGTTTTAGAAACCCTAATTGAAATAAAAGTAGGATTTGAAATAGAATAAGAAACTTGAATGTTGGACACTGAACGTATGGTGTTGACACAAAACAGAAACAGAAAGTTCAATTCTACACTATTAACGCATGGTGTCGACACCCATATTATGTGTCGACGCTACACTCGTGTCGAGTTTCTGGCCTCCTTTCGCAATTTCTTCAATGGTAAAATAACATATCTGTCCTCCTATTATTATACATTCAATTTTTTTTTTTTTTGCACAAAGAATGAAAATCATGTAAAATCTCATAAAATTCATCCAAATATCAATAATATCAAAACAAAAATTCCACATTAATGTCTATATGAATTCAACTCATCAACTATATCACTAGAGTCATTGATAATGTTATAAAGCAATTCCATCTGCATTACAGCAGATCATAGCTCCAAATCCACTGCACAAAGAAAACAAGGCCTTACCTAATCAACTCTAAAAAGAGTACTGAATTACAACAGATCATAGGTCCAAATCCACAAAGCCGTTTGAAAGCTTTGCAATCTCTAAATGCAATAAAAAAAATATATCATTAGTTAATAGTATAAGATTTATCAGTTTAGTAAGATGATGAATACAACTTTAAAATTATTAATTGTAAGTAAAAGTAGTTTAGTACCTTGCTCGATTTCATCTGCAACTTCTTGTGTTTCCATTTTCTCTAGCAATGGTGTAGATCGAAACCAGTTTTGAGTGCAAATAAGTATCCCCATTGGTTTAGGACTTAAAGAGCTTCTATATGGATCCAATACACGGCCTCCTATGCTAAAAGCGGAATGAAGCCACTGTAGACATTGGGATAGCAAATACATCCCTTGCTATCAAGGATAGGATTAGATATCTTGAGGAGTTAACTTTCCACCAATTCAAGATGTGGAATTAGTCACTTTTCTTTTCTTTATCCTCTGCCAAGTACAAATCAACTTCGTTTTTACCATCTTCTTCATTTTCCATGCTCATTTTCTCTTCATAAAGATCTGCAAACATTGAAAAAGGTTAAATGCTAAATTTGATCCCTCAACTTTAGTGAGTTGCACATTTTTGGTCCCTTAACAATTTTTTACACTTTTTTGATCCCTCAACTATACAAAATGCACTCCGTTGGTCCTTCTGTTAATTTGGGCCGCTAACTCGCTTATGTGACATTTTTTATAATTTTTTTGATGACGTGGCAAAAACAAATTAAAAACGTGTTGACGTGAAATTTTTTTTCATTACAGCTCATCCAACTCACATTATTACTATTTATATTTTTAAAAAATAAAATAAAATAATTCTATCCATCTTCTTCCTTTTTCTTTTTTCTTTTTCTTTCTTCCTCTTCTTTCTTCCTCTTCTTCCTCAGGTCATCGTCGAACCTAGTGGTTGGGTTCCATCGAACCCAGATCTTCTGGGTTCGATGGAACCCAGCTCCACTTTTTTTTT